GAAAAGGCGGCTGACATGTTGGCCAGTAACAGCAGCCGCTATTACTGTCTGGCCACTTCGTTTCCCTGATGGTCTGACTTGCTTGTCGTGAAGTTGCACGGTTTTGTGCAACGACGTGCTTTCTCGCCATAATTCGAATGATACCAACACATTCCAGCTGCCCGCTTAGGTGACCTATGACGATGTCTGGATAATGATCTCCTTCTGGACCTAGATCTGGGGCGTCGAGAATGGATGGTGGAGATAGTCGCCTGCAGTGATGCTAGCTGCCGTGTTAAGTGTGCCATTTGTCGCTGCATGTCAAGAGTAGGGTTCATAGCATCTCTACTGGCGGGTTGTACTGCGTAAATTCCCCGACTATCGGGATATATTTCTATCATCTTATCGGCCATGTCTGCTAAATCATCAAGACTGACAGAGGCTCCTGATACGCTGAGAATTTGTCTGACGCTATAAGGTAACCTTTGTAACCACATCTGCTTAAGTAATGCTTCGTCTAACTTGCATGAACCTGCTAGTTGTCTCATATGTCTAAGCAACTGTGAAGGTCTTTTGTCCCCTAACTCGCATGCGGTGAGTAGTTGCTGTAAGCGTTTTTCATCAGACTGCGAAGTACGGTGGATTACTGCGGCTTTTATTTTGTCATAGGGGTCCGTTTCTGGTACGTTATCTATCAGGTCTCCGACTTCTGCTGCCACTACTATGGGTAATGCTCCAACAATGTATGCATATTTTGTCGCTTGCGAGCGTATACCTCTCGACAAAAATAATGCCTCAACCTGTGCAAACCAGATCCTGGGATTATTAACACCGTACGTTGGTAATCTTAGTTCCGAGATAGCGTTGATTGAGTTTAAAACATTATCCTCTGGTTGTGGAGAGTTTAGAAGGTTGGTCGGTGAACTATCAATATCAATAAGTTTACCCGGAGAGTTCATAATGACAAAAACAAAAATATGGTGTCGTGCCGATTAATAATAATGAAAAAATTATGTAGACATATATAGTAAATGTCTATAAAAAAAATAATCGAGGCTCACTAAATAATTGTGGTGGACCAGACAAATATGAACGCAAAAAGTATAAACAAAGTTACTAAAGATCAATAGTAATATTAATATATACAGTTAATTGTTACAAATACAATAAAAATTAGGGACGTTACTTAAATTGACCAAACGCTGCGTGTTCTGATTATGTCCGGTAATGTAAATCCACAATTATAAATGTTTGATAATTCCAAGCAGGTTGGCGAACTCTCTAGTGATATAATCCCACGTAGAATGTGATGTATTCCAATTACAGTCTATAAATAATGATAATATTTGATTTAGAATTCAGCTAACTCAATCACAAATGAAAATAGAACGAGGGATGTGTGAGTAGTAATGTATTTGTTAGCCAGTAAGTATATGTCACGCTATGTTCGAATTACAACGGAAAAAGTGTTCAAGGTCATTGACTAAAACAACACGTACAGTCATTTAATGATAAATGTACATACAGTGAAAAATTGACAAAACAAATAGAAATAACATTGAAAACTATTTACAAAATAAGCTTGTCAGTCATATCTCCACAGTATTAAAAATCTATAGCAATTCACGTGCAATTGAGTTTGTTCTCATTTAACTCGGTTAAGCCCTTTTGTTAACTTATTCAGCGGACAAAGTCATCCGTACTATAACAACTTATTATTGTTGTGCTTGTATGAAATATGTATGCATGAACATTGCTTACCGCCTACTCATATATTCATTCTGCTAGCCTTACTGTTAATCGCTTAATTGATTCGATGATCCATTCATTTCCCTATATATTTTATACATGTACATTTACAATCTACACTCTCGGTTAGCTGACTCACTCATTCACCTCACTGCTTTGCGGACTGAGTTATCTGCTGGTAAAACTGTAGTCGCTGATTCTATTTGCCTACAGATTTCAAACACTGTTGAGGTTTATATGGTAACGGTTACGAGGGTGATTGGTTAACGAAGCACAGCCACTACAAATCTATAGATAGTTCACCCGAATCAAGAATGTACTTCTATCACCATTATCATTATTTTCTTTTAAAACTTATGTAAACCTTATTTTATTAATAATTTTAGGTTTATTTATTGATTTGTTCCAAAAATACTTTAGTACAACACCGATTATTACTGAGTCATTTTCTAAGATAAAGACATTATTAACTTTGCTGTTGAACACCTACTTTTTTATTAAAAAAAAAACAAAGATATTTTATAATAGAATGTTTACTTCTTCAATTAATAACTTATTTGTATTGTGTTTATTAATAATTTTATTAAAATTAATTACTCCAAAAAGAAAAACATGAGTAATTATTTGAACAATAGTAAGTGCAGTCAAGTGAATTCTTTAGAATTCAACATATTTGTTTAATTTGAAAAGCCCACAAATGACCTGGTATGGCCGAGGGTGGGGAGAGTCAGCTCTCCCTCTTGAAAGGCTCCCATATGACCACGCGTGTACAGTCACTACCAGAGAAGTCCTACTCATTACTTTCTTGCGGCATTACTGTTGTTTACGAAATTGAGAGGATGAAAAGCGAGTGTCAAACACTTTAAACGGATTGGTGGATACAGAGGATCCACCTAGAGGAGTTGGAAAACCCTGATTCCAAAACAATGGTGCACATGCGCTCCAGGATCCTAAGGAAGCAAATGGTGTATGAACCAATAATTGGTCACCGGCTACCATGGGACTGCATCTTCTGATGTTGCTCTACTGCCTTGTGAATCAGACCTTTAGGTCGAAGGCTCTGAGTGTGGCCCCCTAAGGAAACCACCTTCCTTATTCTGGGCACCCGGGTAGTATCACAGCCCACACACACATCAAGTGACTTGCATTGCGCATATGTATTCAGTGCCCTTTTGTACCAATATTTATGTGTTCAAATAAACAAATAAATTGTCTTTTTTCTGACGAATTCACAGAAATAATAGTAACTATTATTATCATCAAAAGACTGATTTACTTTACTTTCAAAATACTATTCAGTATTCTATTTTTCCATATATTAGACAGTAGTGTGGTGTGCGTTATTTGTGCGGACAGACATAAGTAGTGTGTGGCAGGAATTGGAAGTCGAATGGTTAGCAGTAAAAGATTGGAATAAAGAAAAGAGGAAGGAAAACAGAAAGAAATTGGAACAACAACAGAATTAGAAGGATGTTGGAGTATGTATAGGACAACTCAAGGAATATATGCAAATGATGTATTTAATGTATAATTTTCACAAAGGCACTGTGTGAGTTTGCATAAAATGAAGAAATCGGTTTTTCACCACCGAGTGTTGGATCACTACAGTGATAGTAGATTTTAATGAAAATAGTAAAGTTTTATGTCACTGTTATCAAGCTTTTTTCTTAAGATTTTAACTAGTGAAAAAAGTAGTTTATTTAAAAGTAGATTGTTAGGCTGACAGTGTTCCCTTGAGATCATACTAACCAAGAGGTAATATGTACGGTGATATAAATATAATTCAATTAGTAAGAACCGGATGACCGATGAGATGACACTAACTCATTCAACTAATCAACAAAGAAGCGGAGTACGAAGAGCAATAGGTTTTTGTTACCGTACTTTTATTAACTTGTTAAAATAAATGGTCATATGAAAAACATTGTTTACATGATCTTGGGATACATTGAAAGGAATGATCAAACATAAACAACCGGATCGAGTAAAGTTAAAAAATCACGTGGGTTTTATAGGTTTTAGACCTCGAGACAATGTGGTGCAAAAGAGCATTAATTTGGTTAGTAACAGTATAAACACAAAATTTCGGGGTAACTCTAATACAATGTACAAAACACAATATCCAGTTGTGTTTCAGTTTTTATTTTCAATAAGTTTATAACGAATCTCAATGGATCATCTAGTCAAATGAGTGTTGTATTGTTGTGACTTGAACTTGGATCGATTTTTACCCCGTGCCAATTGTTGTGTCTTTGACTGAAAGATTGGAGAGCAGTGTATTATCGATCGGAGCAAAGACGCGTAAAACACGTAAGAACGACCTAGAGTTCTGATTGGCCCTGCTTCCCTGTCTAGCTCAACCAGTTGAGTCCAGAACGCAAGTCTCAGCTTCTGAGATATGAATCATTGTGCTTCAAGCATACTCTGTTTATATACCAATCAACCCGACCACAACGTACCAATAAAATAGGAAATAACATTTGTACAATAATTAGCCAGAAGTGGCTGTGAATGAGGGAGGTAGCGATTAACAGATAGGGAATAATCCATGAATGGTAAATCGTACAATAGTAGTTCATAGGTCACCATAAAGCTCATAATAAGAGGAGTATGAATATGAACAGTTTAGTTGCATAACAATTATACGATAAAAATATACTCATAATATTAGTCCATAATTGGATCCCAAAAATTACCATTCATTATTCTTATCGGGACACAACATGTATGATGATATAAATACAATAACATTGAACAACTGGGGCATATTGTCGTCATCTATTAATTTTTTTAATTGTCATGCAAATAATTGGAATGAAAAATATTTCTATGCATGATACGATTCTGAAATAAGAAACTTTTTATAATACAAGTTGATAAATAGGTTGTATATATTTTTGTATGAAGGCATTTTGCTACCTAACTAATTTATGCGCCAAATTTATAAAAAAAATATAGATTTATTACTACTCTCACACATATATACAGGCAGTTAATGCACAAACATTTTGGTAACTAACCATTTTGTTTAATTGAATTAGAGCTTAGAAACCAAACGTTCATTGATTGGTACATGTGAGTTGTGTATCGGCTGGATAAGTGTTTTTTTATAAAAAAAAACACTTATTCTATTAAAAATGATATGGTAAACAGTAAGCAAAGACTCCATAAAGGTATATTCATATATAGAAGAATCACTTATTTTGTCACACAAACTAGCAGATAAAAGGACACAATATATTAGAATGTTAAAATTTAGGATTATAGTAATTCTAAATGTGCCACGAAATATGTGGAAGCTTGGAACTGAAGTCAATCAGCAAGGACGTTGAACCTATTTATCTATCTTTATCAAAATGACCAATTAATTATGTGACCAGAAGTCACTTAAACGATACACTCAGTAATAATACAAAAGAGGTTAGCAAAATTATCGAAGACAGTCATTGGTAGACATGTTCATCAGAACAGGCTGATATAGCCTTTGAGTAATGACTAAATACTTTATTTGTATGCAAAGCAAGCTCTAATGATACTGTACAGAACGATAATGGAAATTTCGCAAATAAATTATTCAGCTCAGAGAACATAGCGTAATCTAAACTAATCCACCTAAACTACATATCATTTGCATTACTTCGTAATTAAAAGATCATTTAACCGATAATGTTATTGACAATAATAATTTATCGAAACTTCGTTTAAAATATTACTCTTATTCAAAAATCTAACGATGAAGTAAAATCTAGATAAAGATGTAATATTGTGAAGATCAATTGAATGGCAAAGAAAAATAATCCGTAAAATGTAGTGAGTATTTGCAAATCTTTTTATTATTGGTGGCCCTAAATCTGACTCCATTTTGATCGTATGAATGATTGTTATTGAAATTTGCATGTCGCTAGCCCTTGTATATAAAAATCGACTTAAATCGCATTAGTGAATAACGGAACTAAATAAGTCATACGAAAATGAATTTTAAATACACATATTTCATGCAATCGTTGATTCAGACAAACGATCAAAGGAACGAAGCGAAATGACGCGCAGGGGAAAAGGCATGTGAAACAACTCGACTTAACCAGGTGTGAATCGATATTTATATTCAGACCGAAACTAAGTTACAGGCACATAATGAATAGGGTAAGTAAGTAACACACATACGATTATTTAAAAAACAGTCAGATTTAATAAGCGAATAAGTGACAAGGTAAAGATGTGGTTTGAGAAGAATGGATAGACTGATCTGTCCAGAGGCTAAAGTGACCTATATAGGCTTGGCATGGTACCAGCCTTTACACATTCTCAATCCATAAAAGTCATGTATTATAATTTTTATAGTCGGAGTTTGCACTATTATGATGCCAATCTGACTAGCTCTATTGATACAGTTGGATGAGAAAAGCTAAATATGACATTTTATTAACAATTTTGATTTATGACTCATGGTTTTATATGAAAAATTTTCACTGTCATTCAACTCAATGTCCGTGCCAACTCTAACTAGAAATTAAATGTTTGATCTGATAATCCAGTTTGTAGTTGGTTGTCCTCAATAGCTTTCTACTTTTAGTTACCTTTTCATCGACTGTTTTGTTAAATTGGTTTGTAGCCGCGTGCATACTTGACGTCTGCCTTATTGACTAATCATTGGGATTTATGTCAACATACCTACTGATTACAGATTAATCAAAACATTTTGTCATTTGTAGAGTTTTACACTATTCCATTTTCACAATTGAATTCTTGTCTGCAACTGTTTATAGGGGCTGAGATAAATGCGAATATAGCTTCATCGCGTTACTAACTGATATTCGTAGACGGTTAAATAGAGAAGAAGCTTACTTTTTCTAATGTCGTGCCTCTAAAAGTGTAATTTACTTATTAGACAACTTTAAGCTTATTTGCTTTTTCTGTTTTTGTATCCCATTGACTGTATATAATGGGATGAGATGATTTTGCCGGTTTGGAAGTAGTATTCATTCCCAAAAGTTTCAATACAATATTAGCTATTTCTATGATCTTTAAAAAGAGAAAGACCGATTTTGTTGATGATTTCTAAAAGGCAGATTGACTCGATAGATATCTGTTGATTAATTCCTATTAGTATATATTCATCAGAAGGGCAAACAGAATATGGTCTTTCACAATTAGCCAGAAAATTAGATTAGAATGGTGAATAATCCCTGAACATGTAATCAAAGATTTTATTCACGTCTACCGAATTCATACGTATATTTGTGTTTACAGCTTTTCTGTCTTTATTTTCCTAATCAAACCCTCCAAAAGTAGAATCTCACTTTTAATCTTGATTGTTTCTCATTTGTAAATTTGTTGTTATGGAAAATACTGCTGATTAACCTATTAGTAGTTTTTTCCAGTTCATTTCTTCTGATGATTATAATAATATAATCGAATCTCCAGTTACATTATTGACATAGTTGTGATCTCCAGCGTTTAAATTATGGCCTCAGTAATGTTTATGATTTTTTTATTATATCCGACCATTGAAATGGATAAGTTGTTGTGAAGCTGACAGAATACAAAAACAATAACCTAATCCATCTTAATTACGATTATTTTTATATCGTTTAATGATATCACAAGATAGATAATTTTGTTCCAATACGGTATAGTTTCATGAGCAATAAAGTCGACATGAATTTTAATGGACATTTAACCACTTCACTTACTCTAGTAAGAATAAATTGACATTGAAATCGTTTCTCGACAATTGAAAATATCTATTATTCTTTGTTTCTAAGTCACAGTAAAATATTTTTCATTATCCTCAAGAGTGTTCCATATGCGCTGAATACTGATAAGAATGTCCTGGTATACTTATGATCTCTGATATACAGACGAAAATTACTTATGTTCAAAAAAGCGCTTCTGATAGAGCTTGTTGGGAATGTTATCAGATCATAACTCCAAATATATCTTTTAAACAATGTTATGAACTCTTCTATAGCCTGGGTGAACTTGATGCCAATTCCTAGTACTCTCTTCCAGAGAGTTTATTAAGTTTTCAGGTTAATAAATACAAATTACTGGAGAGCCATACGTGTGATCAAGTTTCACAATCTGTCCAATAATGAAGATCTAGCAAGTAAACCATCATGATTGTTATGTCCTATGGCCATTCAAATATCACGTGACAAGAATTCACCAATCAGAATACTGACTCTCGTGACCTTGTCCCTGTGTGGTATGTGCTACTGACATCGACAGATATAAGTAGTATGCATCATCAATCGAAAGTGAAATACCTGGAGGCAGAAGGTTAAAAAGATCAAAGAAAAGAGAACAAGAGCAAAGAAGGATTGGTGTTGAAACGAAAGAACAATGACGTCTGGAATGATTGGTTAACATTTTGCAAATGAAGTATTTACCGTATGGTTCTCAGATTTTACTAATATGTTCTGTAATTTGTATTCAAATACACTCGATTTTTCCGTACTTCTGTTCTCGTTAACTTCATCTGTGCTAAACCAATGAGATGTCAACCAGCATTAGCATCAATAGATGTTAAATTCTCAGTCATTGTTCATCAGTCACTGGGCAACTGTTACAACAGAAGGTCGTCAGTCTTATTTCACGGGAAAAATTGGTTTATAGTTGGAATAGACAAAGCTATTGCTTCTATGATGACGGTGTGAACACAGGGGCCTTAACACAATACAGGAACTTATTCTTTTTGAAGATATAACACCGTATTAGATGCTTGCCTATCTTGAGATTACAAAAATCCATTCGTGTAAATAATTTTTTAAGTCCATCATGAAAAGTCTTCTGAGTTTCCCTCAAACACGTAATGACGTAAAGTTGAAAGTAGTTTTAAGAGGCTGTACTCTTACATTACAAGTAAACTAAAGTGTTATAAATGTAGGACTTTATAAGAAATAGTAGGCCATCTCACAATCGATAGTTTCATTGTAGTTAGAAGTACTATTTATTAGAAGTTACTATCTGTTTTCACCTACTTACAATGTGGCATAAATACTCCTGAGTAATCTTCAGCAGTAAGTGATCCGTGTCCTTTGCTTTCTTTATAGCCGATATCTACTTACATGAAATCAATTCATTTCGAAGTAATGCTTCCAGTGTGAAAGTACTATTTATATGTGTATAATTTACCTACTAGCATTTTTTAGTAGTAAGTTAAATTCTGCTATATTTTCAGCCACCACCTCCACATAACATTATGGTATTTAAGACAATTAGCTTTGTTTCTGTAATAAAAGACATCCAAATTGAAAGAGACAAATCGATTTCTTAGTTTAGATAAGTATCATATGAATATGGACCAGTGCTAATTAGACACTTCCAAAGTAACTTCCGCTTACTCTCAAACAAATATTTTCATATTCATTCAACGAATTTCATAAATCATTTGATGACTATTATAGATATTTGGTTTAAAAAAATCATGATTTTATGGCATGTGTATTGAATTCATCAACTTTTCAGTCACTATCAGTTAACGTACGATCATCACACTATTTAATTTTCTGGAATAGAACCCGAGATGCGCATTTCATCCTATATATATGGTCAAATTTCATCGACCAGTCGGTTGTAACGATCTTTGTCCTACAGGAAGAATTTCTCAACTCGAAAAGCTCGGTGAAGTGGATAACCCAAGTCCATCAGGAAACATAAGTGCCCTCAACACTAAGCTGGTGACTACAATGCAACTTGATCGATATAATTCAATCATCACTAAAGACTAGACAAATATGAAATTAGTCACAACAAACTGACTAAACAATTGTAGGTGTGTCATTCAGTTCTTTTTTGTTGTTGTTCTTTTCTACTACTTTCTCTAGAAAAGGTAAAAATTGGTTGTTATTTTTCATAGATTAGGCATAGTCAGGAGTTATATAATATCTTTAAAAATACCCATTAAAAACATATGTGAACAGTCAGTGTAGTGTAATTCGTATTCATTTCTACTTCATTTGTACTTCATACAGTATAATGAATTCATATTATTCTGCACCAATGTTTGTTCTGGCTTTATTTATATACAGTATGTAGGTGAGTAACAAACAAACGTTAAAAAGTTAACTATTTATCAAAGTTATCAGTTTTTGAACGAATGTGATTTCATCGAAACTGCAGTATGATACGTATGTTCGATACAAAAATTCATTTACAGAAGTACAGGTCAGTTTACTTCTGCTGTAAAAATAAATCTAATATTATCTATACAATCTTCAATGAGTTAAAGAAGTAGCGTTAGTGTATAACTATTTAATTATTGTATTCCAATTTATAAGTAACCATTTGCATCAAAAATACCTAATCGCGAACCCTCACTAACACCAATATGCCTATCTAACAATTTAGCGGTTTTCTGTATTTCGTATCCTAGTCGATTACGTGATAGTATTTGAAGAGCTTGACTCATGGACTGAGTCTCCGTGCAAACAATACTGGGATATAGGCAAAACCAACTGATGAATTCTAAACTGAATTCTACGACCTAGGTTCCACTGTTAGCCATGCACAACTGTTTAAAGATCTACATATAATACAAATGTCTATTATCCAACACACAAAAGTACCACGATATATTTGAGTTTTAGCTTTAATAAAAGGGAAAGAATCGAAAGTTCATCGATTTATTCTGAGAACACACTTTATATCGCCATAATTAAACATCTTGTGTGGATTCATATTAATGGTACATCATTTCCACATCCTGAAAGTAAGAGACTTTTCATTACCAATCTAAAGGGTCCTAAATACTCCATAAAGTTATTTTCTCCAAAATAAGTCATCAAGAGATGGCAAATACGTTGCTT